TTCAATTCCACCACTGGCTGATTGCTTGAGCTGGACACGGATCTCAGCATTCCTGGTTCTCAGGCCTTCCAACCCAGACTAGTATCTATACCATCACCTCTCCGGCTCTCTGGGCTTTAGCTACACCATCGGCTTTCCTGGGTCTCCAGCTTGCAGGCAGCAGCTCGTGCGACTTCTCAGGCTCTGCAGTTGCGGGAGCCAAGACCTTATAATAAATAAATCTCTCAGATATAGACATACATATAGATCTATCTTCATCTTCTATCGGTTCTGTTTCTCTGGAGACTTCCAACGGATACAATCAGTACATTTTAAAGGCTTTAAAGAAAGACAGAGATTGTTTGTCCATGCTGGTGGCTCGTCATAGCCTGTCACAGCACCGGGCTCATAGCAGGAAAGGGGGTGAGGGCGTGAGGGCGTGAGGGGGTGGCTACATCATATCAGTCACCATGTGAGAGGCCAGGAAGGTGCATTCAATGAGACCCAAGGCTCTGCTCCCAGGGAAGATGGGCAGACCACAGCCCCCAACCCCAGAAATAACTAAACACAGCCCCATATCCTCAGATCCCCTCCCACAAAAGGCACTGTAAAGAGGAAGATCCTCATCATCTTCAGAAGAAACAGTGCTGGGAGAGGGGAAAAAAGGAGACAGGAGAAGAGAGAGGAGAGGAGACAAGAAGAGAGGGAGAGACAGACACAGAGGAGGTGAGGAGTGGCGAGAGAGTGTAGAAGACCAACCTGCAGGTCAGGCGGGGGTGGAACAAGGTTAGGGGCTGTGTTTGGAAGACCCGTGTTCTACTTTGAGAGCCACCACCAACTAGCAGAGGGTCCCAAGCCACGCAATTGCTCCGAGTCTCCAGCTCCCTCCTCTGTGAAGTCTGGGATCCAAGGAGCTGGCCTCGCTCCCTGGGATTTGCTTCAGAGCAGGAACGGTGGCTTTTCTCTCCTTTCCACAAGGCGCCCTGCACAGTGGCACGCCGCAGGCTCTCAGTAAATACGTGCACAATAAAAGAAGGGATGCGAAAGAGCTTTATGAACTATAAAGTCCTGTGCAGAGGACAGTGCTCACTTTATTTCCCAAGGCTGACGGGGGGCGGGACGGGGGGCTTGAAGGAAGAGCACTTTCTACCTCACTGTGACTTTGCAGCCTAAACTCAGGGTCCTGAAGTTCAGTCAACCTAAGAAAGCATTCCCCGAGAAGGTCCGATGTGCTTGTTACAATGCCAAGAGCTGGCATTAGACAGAGAGCAAGACCCAGACGCCCCTGCCCTCAAAACATTTACAATCTAAGGGAGAAAAGCTGATGTCCACGAAAGAGAATGCTGCCCGCTGGGAAGAGGATGAGAACAGGATATTCCAAAGCCTGGCCTTTGCTCTTATGATAATCATAGTAATTATCATCCGTAGCGATGACTGCGGTGGTGCTTCATCTGTGCAGCCAGCTGCTGCATTAGCTGGACTGAAAGAGACCCAGAAATGCTTTCGTTTTCAGGGGCTGGCCCAGCCACAGCTCCCCGCCTCGGCCTAGTCCATTGTCGGAACCCACGTCTGTGGGTGTGATCGTGTATGTTCAGTGACAGATCAGAAGTGATCAGAAGAAAATTAGGCACATTTTCCCCTGCATTTACGAATCCCTCCCCTGCAATTGCCCTCGTGTTCTGACATTCATTGAACTCTGTCTTTACTACTAAAAATAAACTCTAGGTTGAGTGCAATGCACAAAAAAACCTCAATATGAAACCACAAGAAACAGTAATAGAGAAATGGGCCAATACGAGGTGCTATGAAAAGATGTTTCGTTTCAAGTGTAGAGTCCCGGCTGGGCCAGGAGTTCTTTTAAATGCTGTGGACGCTGAATACAGTAAGCAACTTTGACACCTGTACTTCGTGGATAAAGAGCAGAACTGGTTCCCGTCCACAGACGGGAGAGCAGGAGGTGTCTGGTGCCTTCTCACCAAAGGCCCCACAGGCCTGCGTGGGAGGATCAGGGAGCCCAGAGATGCTCCCGGGGGAGGCGAGGCCAGGAGAGGAGTCTACGAGAGCAAGGTGAGGGTCAAAAGGGCAGGAGCCCACCTCCTCTGCACGTCCAAGGAGGGGCCAGGGGTGAGAGGGAACAATACTGAGAGGGCCAGGAGCTGGACAGGTGAGGAGGTGGAAGAAGCAGCAAACAGCAAGAGCTCCCACTCACTGCCCATCCTCAGTAGAGGTTCTGTAATCCTCACATCCACCCCAAGTGGGTCCTGGTCCCCTTTGCAGCTGAGAAAAGAGAAGTTTGGCCAGGCGCGGTGGTACACACTTGCGGTTCCAGCTACTTGGGAGGCTGAGGCAGGAAGGTCGCTTGAACCCAGGAGTTCAAGGCCAGCCTGGGCAATATAGCTGAGATTCCCCCATGGCTAAAAATAAATAAATAAATAAAACAAAAATAAGTTATTTTTAAAAAGAGAGAGAGAGAAATTTGGAGAGTTTTAAAGGACTTGCTCAGGATCACACAGGAAGTGGGAAGGAAAGCTCAAGGTAGAATCCCAGTGTCTGCCTCTGTGATCCTGGTGACTCAGTCTCCGGGTAGGAACAGTGCAAACAATCCAGACTCATGGATGGGAGAGGTGTGGAGCCCATCCCATTGATGTGTGGCCCAGCTGAGTTGATTTCTAGGCAGCTGCAGGCAGGTGAGAGAAGTGCCTTAAGGACAAGTAGAGCCACTTGAACAAGCACAAATGCTTGGGCTTTTCTCAGGGCCCCATCACAGAGCAGCCGTGCTCAGGACTGTGGGCTTCGGAATCCCAGCAGTGCCCGGGCTCTCTCCTCCTGCTCCTAAAGCTGAATTCTAGAGAAATTGTCTCCTGTCACCCCCAGGCAGATCTGCCAAGCCTCTCTTTGTCCACAGCAGGCAGGCATCACTGCTCACTGTCAAAGTCATAGCATTGAGGGATGGTGCTTCCGGCTTTCAGAGTCTCCGCCCCAGTGACTGGGGTCCCATCCGCCCTTTCCTCCACATGGGAACAGCTCGCTCCAGCCCTTCAGGTGCGACAGGCCATGGGGATCTACCGAAAAGCCTGTTGCATTTGTACGTGCACTGCTACTCCCAGAGCCAGCTGCCTGGAACAAGAGCATGGGCTCCCAAAACATAACTCAACGCCCGGTTGAATCCTTGAGGACCAGAAAGAGGCAGGCAGCACTCCCGCAGGAAGGCCTGTCTATAAATGAGAAATTTGACAGTGAAATGAAAATTACTGGGAAATGTGAGTGCACAAGGGTGCTGAGCTCCAAAAGGTGGAAAGGCTTCTTAATTGCTAATCAACAGCTCAGCTCCTAGAAGGCCTCATTCACATGCATCTTTCAAGAGGCACAAGAGGCAGCACGCTCTCCAGGAAGTCTCCCCGCCTGGAGAAGGTCCCCTCCCCACCTGTCACCTATGCCTGGTGGGTATGGAATACCCTATGCACATGCCAGTCCCCCGACCTTGACAGAAGGGCAAGGCCTTGTGTTCTCCATCTCTGCGTGTCACAGGAGTGCTGAACACCACAGCAGATTAGAAATGCAAATGCGCTTTGGAAAATTTAAGGTGCAATGCAAAAGATGACCTAAGTAGCACAACATGAGCACCATTCTCTGATGCCCCCTCAGTTCCAACTTCCCTAACTGTCTCTCACCAGTCCACCCTTTCTCACCCCCATTCCCACCCTTGCTTAGTTTTCAAATTCATGGTAGGAATAGTGTCAGTTTCCTTTTCATGGTGTTATTTATTCTTCCAACATCTTACTTAAAAAAAAAAAATCACAACTGATTTCATTCTTTCCTCTGAACCTTTAAAAACATTTTTCTTTCAGTTATTTCTCTCTCTTTTTCCCTCTTCTTCCTTGCTCCCTTTCATTCATTCATTTGTTCTTCTAACATCTACCATGGAAGGCCCAGCCCTGGGCCAGACTCTGCGCTGGGTCTTGGGATATGTAAGGCAGTCCTGGCTCGAGATAAGCTCACCAGCGATGGATTGGCCAGACAGGGGTGAAAGGGATTTCAACCCAGTGCAGCAGCCACGGTGCAATGGAGTTGTGTCTTCAGCTGCCCACTGCAGGCCAGCGGAGGGAGAAATTGTGCGGGGCTGGCCACGACCAGGGAGGTGACTCGCAGACTCGCAGTCCTTATTCAGGCCGATTGGTGGTGGGTGAAAGGCAGAGAGCACAGCAAACCAAAGACTTTGAAATAGCCTGGTGCATGGAAGAAACTCTAAATGGCATAATGAATGAATTACAACAAAATGAAACAAACCTCTTCCGTTTTTGAGCATTTTCTCCTCCGTGCCAGGCAGATTGCTAAGCTCTTTTTCTCCATTATTTCATTCAGTACACACAACATCCTCATGAGGTAGGTACTAACACAATCCCTATTTTACAATGAGGAAACTGAGGCCTAGAGGGGCTCAGTGATTTACCCAAGGTGAGGCAAACAGCAAAACCAGAAAAACCCAGGCATGCCTAAAGCCATGGGTCTTAGCAACTCACCCTTCACCCCATGCAAACTCGCCCTTGGTGTGGTTGGAGCACACGATTCCAGGAGGTGGAAGGAAAAGGTGCAGATTGGGCTGGGAAGGGAGGAAGAGCTCATGTTCTGGATGCCGCAAAAGGCATAACCTGACTGCATAGCCCCCGCTCCACCTTCTCCTCCTCTCCCCAACAGAGTCTCCACATATTTCGGCAAGACAATTGGAGCATCCTATGCCTTCTGCTAGGATGGGATATTCACCTAAGAGACTGCAGGCTCATCCTTTTGCCAGGGACAGATGGAAAGCATTCTAGGCACAATGACCAAGTGGATGAAACCCTGAGAACCAGGTAACCAGGCCAGGATGAGGTCATGGGAAACCAGCTTCCCAAGCACTTTGAAGCAGCACAGGAAGACATGCCAACAAGTGAAGAACCACAACCCAAGTTGTGTTGCAAGAGACCATCAATTCCGAAAGATATTTCTGGTCCCACAAGACTCAGGAGGAGAAAATCCCTTACCTTAATTCTCCAATCCCACAGTATTCCAGCTTTAGTTCAGGGAAGGATTGTTCTCAAATCCTTCTGGAATGCTGAAGGAGTATGTATTTTTTTTTTCAGATTAAAAGGACCTAAATCCCAGGTGTAACAGGATTCTAGAAATATACAAGAGAAAGATAGAGAATTATTAGTATCAGTGCTTACCTTGAATGGATTCGTTCAAGAGATGCTTCCTTTAAATCATAAGAACTGCATATTCACCAAATGCTGAATGCAAGGCAGCAGCAGAGCAGACATCTACTGAGAAACTACTATGCGCCAAGCACCATGTTAGGCTTTTTATATACATTAAGCCATTTATTACTGAGGTTGGTTTTGATATCCTCCCATTTCCGAAGTCACAATAGTGGCCAAGCCAGAGCTGACAGTTGGGTCTTCCTGACTCCCAAAGCCCTCACCCATCAACCATATTTCTTTTCCCTACTAGAGCATTTTCATTCAGCTGATTCCAAGAATTCTACGTAGAGAGGAATAATGAGCATATCCAGTAACTTCAATCCAAGAATGGCCTGTCCCTGGATGTCCAACCTGTTCCATAGACTGTGGAGATCACATGAGCCATGGATGCTGCATCAGATTAACTTTGTTGTGAGTTTTATCTGAGCTCAACACTATCACCCAGTAACGTGATCGGTGAGCATCATTCATTACCAAGGAAACAAAAAATGCATCCTCTCTCACCAGAGATTCTTATCCTAACAGATCATTGACAATCAGGCTACATGAGGTGGCTAGAAGGAGGAACGGTGGAGGGAATGAGGCTAGGGGTCACCCCTGGTCTTATCTGCTCTGGGAAGAACCTGCCCAGCTACCCTGAAGCAAGGCCTGATGCTTAGCCCGGTGGGGCTCAGATGCTGACCTTCTCCTCTCTTTCAAGGGACAGGGGTACTCTGGTTTGGCACTCACAGAAAGCCACATCACTGCCTTTACAATGGGGAGCCCCTTTCTCTTTCCAGACCTCCTTCCCGCCCCTCACCCCTCAAAATTCTCAGCATATTGGCAGCCATATCATGAATGAGATGAAGCTTGGTCAGTACAGACTCAGTACAAATACCTCTGAAAAGTTCTGAAGGGGAATTTGCCCTTGACCATATGAACAGCTGGAGAAATACCCTTGCCCCACAGCCAAGAGCAGAGGGCAGGTGGCCTGCATCCCCCAGGGAAGGATAAATTCCCCCTCTCCTCCAGGAACAACTTGGCCATAATGAGCTTCTCCAAGGCCCTCTGGGTGTCACAGTCCTGCCTTGGATGTGCTGGTCACAAAGAGACCTCTAACAGTTCTGCAAGCCTAGGAGAGTCCCTGCCTCCTCCCGTTAAGTGTTGCTTTAATTAGTCCATCCAGCGCTCAGAGTCTAGTTCCCAGCAGCACAGGGTGAATTCCCCCTCACTCGGAAAAGTCCCCTTGCCTAGCAGTGCACTCAGAAAGATGCCACCTCAGCACCTCTGCGCTCCCCAGCGAGCAGCCTCCCACGCTCCTCAGGCCTTTTGATTGGGAAAGCATCTTTGCCTTATTGTCAAAATGCAATCACTTGGTTACCCAAAAAGGGCAGCAGCACAGCCTCCCAGCTGCCGGTGGGCTCTTCTCAGGCTGCCTGTGTTGGTATCCCAGTTCTGCTACCTAAAAAGTCCTTTCAGGAGCCTGAGCAAGTTACGTAAACTCTATAAGGCCTCCGTTTCTCATCATGGAGGTTTGTTCTTAGTGTTAGGCGAGAACCTGTGCAGAGCTTAGCACTTGGCCCGGGACATTATAAGCACTTGGGTAAGTCAGCCATTATTAACGCCATTTAGGCAAACGCTGGAGACTTCACTTCTTAGTTTCCTCCTGAAAGGAAATAAAAGGTCTCCCCTATTCCTATCCCACCACAGTGACTTGGTGTGAGGTCCCAGCACACAGGGCCAAGGGAACAAATGGAGGCAATGAGATTGCACTGCAGCCTGGGGCTTGAGTCATAGAACCTCAGCTCCAGCCTGGCTCTGACCCCCCACTACTCAGTATACTCATCTGCAAGAAGGAGTGGATTGGAACATTACTCACCTCCCAGGTGTGCTGCCAGGATTACATGGGAGGGAGTACCAAAGAGATGCTCTATATATAAGGTCCCAGGGAAATGCAGTTCATTGCAACAACAGTGCTAAGAGCACACTCTATAGATGTCACATCACTGAGGATTGTCCTCTCTTCGTCTAACACATACATTGGCCCCAGGAGGCCAGGAGACACATACAACTGGCTTCCCCATCTTGCAGGTGTGGAAACTAAAGCTCAGAGAAGCCAAAGAGGCTGCCCAACCCCAAACAGCAAATGCATGGCCAGCCCGCTGGTTTGAAAGCTGGCTCCGTCTCCTCCCTGTGAGGGAGTGGGGCGGAGAGGCAGAAACAACACAGAACTTGGGCTTCTGCAGAAAACAGAACCTCTTTCCGAGGCAGCCAAACTGATTCGTATTTTTAATTAATGTTTTAAAACACACACACAGAGCAATGTTCCATGGAAATTAAGGAACTAAAATTTCCAAGCTTCTCCCAGGAGCTATCAGGAGCCTGGGCTGGCCAGGGTGCTCGGAGCCCGTTGCAGAGCGAGAAGATCATAGCACAGCCTCAAAACACCAAACCTGCCCAGCAGTAGGGTCACTTCCCACCCACAGAGACGAGCCAGGGAAAAGGAGACTGGCCCAGCACAGGGCGACAGGACTCACTTGGCCACTGGAGGGAACCTGCTCAGAAATCTGGCAACCCTCAAGAAGAGGAGGAGGGAGTGGAGAAAGAGGTCAGACGTGTAACAGGAGCCAGCCCTGAAGAGTTGGGTGACTGCTCCCCTACCCTCCTGCCATCTCCTCTCAGGACCCACTGTCCCCAAGGAAGGACATTCACCTGCTCTGTGACTGACAAAGGCACCCTGCCCCTGGCCAAGCAAGACCTGGGCTTTCTATAGATGCTGACAATACATTCCTGATATTGCTCAGGAATGAGGAAGATCACACTGTTGGGGCGCACAACTGTGTTCTGATGTCTGAGGAGCCTGAGTGCCCGAGACAGGGAGACCCAGACCCCTGGAGACCCCATAGGAGGAAAGAGGCAGAGATGGGGCAGAGTCTCATAGCCGTTCTGCTCTGGGATCTGCCCTTTTTCTCTGCCGGCAGAATTCCAAGCAAGTCATGGACTCAGATCATCTACTCCTCTCTCCAGGCCAAGAGGCAAGGCCATGTGATCTTTCTCCAACCAGAAGGTGGAAAACACAGTGGCTGGGTAACCTGAATGAGGAGAGGCAGCCCTGCGTGTAAAGCAAGTCTCTGTTAGAAAGGTGGAGAGGCACTGGGCATACCACCCAGCATCGAATGATCACCAGTTCCACTGCCAGCCAGGCAGCCTTATCATCCGGGACAGCTGGCCTTGAATGCCACCTGGATGTTGCCCAGGTAGTGAGGCCAAATGGGTGGGCAGATGGCCCACCCAGCCAGGACCAGCCACTCCACAGGCAGGGGCCCTTAGCTCTTTGGCAGGAGAGAGTGAGCCAGCTGTGAAATGAGCAACCACACACAGATTTCTGACCTGGAAATCACCAAAACATCATCCGCCCATGACGAACAGATCACGGAGTGGACCACGGCACCTACAGAAGCTGTGGATGCAGAGGGAAGACCTGCTTCCTTGAGGAAGCCCCTGGGTACAGGCCTCAGCTTTGGGATAGAGAAGGCCCAGAAAAGGACACAAACACAGATACTGCTGTGCCTCTCCCACGGGGTCAGCAAAGCCTGGCTCCCATGTTTGCCCAGATTCTATGAAATCCAGCAGGTCCAAGAACAGAGCAACACACAGAGTCTCAGGACACGGGCTGCCTGGGTCAGAGCTGGTTCCCCACCAGTTAGAAGCTATGTCACCATGGGCAGTCCACCTAACCTCTCTGGTCTCATGTGTAAGTCAGGGGTAGAAAGAGCAGCTTCTTCTGGATTGGCATGGGGTCTGCCCTGCAGTGTATATGGAATGCTTTGCACCACCTCTGGCTCATAGTAGGTGCATATTCTTGGGCTCTAATTGCTGTCATTATTCCTAGTGCCTGGTAGGCAAATTAGGTTTCAAGACAGATAGTCCTAGATTCAGATTCTAGCTCTGTCACTTCCTGAGAATGTGACCATGGACAAGTCACTTCTACTCTCTATGCCTTAGTTTCCCCAGCTGCAAATGTGGATGTGACCACCAGCCATATGGGACCACTGAAGGTTACAGGATTAAAGCAAGTGGTACAGTATGAGCTTTCAGAAATAAAAGCCCCAGTCTAACCCAGGGGACATTTCTACAAAACAACTTGCCTGGACTCCTCAAAAATGCCAAGGTCAAGGACGGCTGAGGAACGAACTCTTGCAGGTTAAAGGAGGCTAAAGAGACAAGACCACTGAATGTAATGATGATCTGGAATCAGGAAAAAATAGTCCAAAAGAAATTATTGGAACAACTGATGAAATTGTATGTGGCCTGTGGATTAGATAATACGATGGTAGCAAAGCTAAATTTCCTGAGTCTGATTATTACACAGGCTTAGTTACGTAAGAGAATATCTTTGTTCTTAGGAAACACACACTGAATACTTAGGGATAAAAAGGACATGTCTGCAACTTACTCTCAAATGAGTCAGAAAAAATAGTGGGGGGGATATGGAGAGTGAGTTACCAACTGATGAACCTGGGTGTACAGTAGTTCTTAGCATCATCCTTGCAATTGTTTTCTGCTAATTTGAAATCATATTAGAATGAAAGATGTCCAGTAGCTACAGAACAGGAGGGGGAGAACCAGCCTAAATAGCTGAGAATCAACCATCCATGCAAGCAAAACATAAAAGCCTTTCTCACAAAACCCATGTCACCTTATCTACAAATGTTATGATTTATTGTGTAGAAAACTACAAAGGATAAAACCGAAATTTAATTTGAACCACCACCTTCTCTGCCCGAGAAAAAGAAAGAAAAATGATGGCTACTGCTATTCATATGACCTGGGGCCAGGATGGGAGCACTAATGAGAAATAAGTCGGCTGCATCCTGACCATCCAGCATCCTGGCGCACAGGTGAGCTGGGATTTGACCCCAGGTTGCTTCAACAGGAG